AGGAGCCCATCTCACCTCCCTGACCCTCCTGCTTAAAGTGTGCCCTTACTAATGGAGGGTGCGTTCACATCGCTTCCTACAAGCAGACATAAGAAAATGCTGACTGGATGTTTGACCCAACTGGAAAGGGGGGTTACATCCATCTGAGTAAATTGCAGAGTGCCCAGGAGCACTCCCAGGCGCTGGAGCTGGATCTTCTGCTCTGCTCAGGGTGGGAGGGTGCTCCTGGTACGCTGACATCCTATGCCAGCTCCACCACAGGGTCCCCAGCAATCCAAGTGCTGCAGGGACTTCTTCCAGGGGGGCAGCTGCCATGGGGTCACCCTGTTTTGGAGACTCAGAGTGTCATCCCTCCAGCTCGTTTTGCACCACAGTATCCCTGAGCTTGTTGAATTTACTAGTGTAACTTTGGCCAAAGTCAGCTCTGAACCAGAACTCGTGTAGCTGTACTTAGGCAGTGCTTGAGCCCAAGCTAATAAAACCTGCTGAGGGGCAGGATATATTAGCTCGGGTTCAGTGCTGTGCTAACATGGCTATATGGCTTCCAGATGGCTCAGAATTTAGGCAGAGCTATTGCCTGCCAAAGCCCATATATATATATATCTCAATATAAATATATGCATCCTAAATTCCCCCACTGTAAGGACACTAATGAAGGTGGACTCACTCCTGATACTTTGCCTTGTAAATACCAAATCCAAGAGACTTAAATGCAACAACCCTGCAACATCCTGATGGCTACCATGGTCACCTAAGTTAGGTGCCAAGGTTGACTGGGGGCAACCTTGCAATGAGATTGACAACATTTAGCATTCTAAAGGTGACGTCAAGGCCGATGTAAGTATGGAGCCAACTCCCTGAAGAATTCAGAGGGGTTCCAAAGAATGTTTATCAATATGGTGATAGGCACTTTATATATATAAATATATATATATATTCAAACCATTATGGGTTGAAAGCCAGGCAGCCACCCTCTGCGACATAGAGAAGGTGGCCATGATGTCTCTCTGGAGGCTTTGAAGGAGAAAGGGGTTTTGGAATGCCCAGGCTGAAAGGAGTAACGGCTAAAATAGAGAGACTGTGTGTCTTAATGTGTCCCCCATTGTCACTGGAGAAGGATCTCACCAGTCCTTTCTGCAGCATGTAGGATTAGGAGCCAAACCTCCTTCCAGGGGACACAGGTCAGAGTGTACGCAACTATGTGCTGGAGAGAGAATTGGCCTTCCCCAGGCTTCACTGGGATCAAGGAATCTATTTCTTTCAAGTTTCTCTTTGCTCTGAAGAAAAATAATAATCCTGAAGTAAGAATCAGAGTCGGGGAGCTGAGGATTCCTACTCCTGCCCACCTCAAACAGCAAGAAAGCCCAAAGAAACCTTCCCTGGGACTATGTGGTAACAGAAATCACTTTAATCAACTTGGGATTTTCAAAGTTACCACCAGTTTCTTCCCCTCTGATGTGTAGGCAAATGGAAAGTAACCGAGAGCTGCAGTAACCTGAGAGAAGACACTGAACTACGTGGCCGTGGGGGCTACCCAGGATGTTGTACTGACAGCTGTGCATTTGGAACTTCTTTTATTCTGTGCATCATCAAGAGTCATCGTTACACTTTATCTCCCTCTCCCATTTTCTGTAGACAACACTAGATTCTCATCAGCAATGATATAAACAACAAAAGGAATACTCTTGCAGATATTTATGCTCCTCCAGTAAAAGTGACGTTCAAACTGTTGCTAACTTCCAATTATAAAAATGTTAAATGTTAATACAAAGGTGCTGATTCACTGGAATATGTTTTAAGACTTAGGAGACATATGGTATATATACAGGAAAAGCGTCAAATGGAGCTTTTTGAATTGTTTTTGCATCTGCATTGATTTTTATGCTGCAATTCATCTAACACTCGCACTTCCATCAGTGTGAAAATGAGCACCTCTCATTTTAAACACCATGGAGAGTTTTGGTGTCAAAAGGAGGGAATCGGCCAAAAAGGGATGCTGCAGAACGTTGAGGAGACATTAAAAAAGAGAATCAAAAAAACCTGATCCTTAATTTACCACAGCCCCAGGGAAACAGTGCATTATATGTTGACAGCTTCCATATGTGTCATGCAAACCTTTATTCTTACTGTTCAAAATAAAACGTCCCATTAAGAGAAAAAGTCTACATTTCATGCTAAAATGAGGCGTATGATACCAAATACTGTCTTAAAGAAAAAAGAAAACACATTCCAATGTCATGTGGCTTTTTGTACTTTTTCAGCATTTTCAAATGGGGAAAAATATGAATTACAACAAGCAGAAATTCTTCCAAAGTTATTTTTATCACACTGTTATATTAAATAGTTACAATTATTTTTTTTTTATTCCTCATGTAGACATTATTATTATTTATGCACCATCTTCAGGGATCACCAAAGATACATGTCTATGCAAATAATTGCCTAAAACGTCACTGAAAGATAACTGTAAGAAAGATTGCTGATAATGCTAATGATAATATAATAGCACCTTACGGTTTCTGTAATTATTGGTACCCTATTTTAAAGGTGTTGTATGAATAAATCTAAAAATTAGTATGTTCTTCCAGACTTGATTATCCAGGGCCCCAGTGCAGCACCCGAATGCCTCAAACAAGGATCCTCTGATGTAACAGAATCCCATTTAGTTTAATGGTCTGTCACAACAGAAAGGTTAATGGATCGGGTCTTATCATAAATGTCTCTCCAGTTATGGGGGTGGAACTCCTCTACCTCCCGTAAACTCAATGGACAGCTGGAGGCATGAAGAAACGAGCTTCAGATCTGCGTGGCCTAAAGTTCACTTGAGCCAAGGGAAGGTTTTTTTGGTTGATTTAAACCAGTCTCTGAGCTTTCATAGCAAACTGGTTGGAGGGGAGGTGGGTGGGGCTCCCTGGGTTACAAATTGAGTCCACTACATACTGAGTCATGTATAAAAATTCATGTTCCATCTGTACACAAACATGTCATTCAACTGCTGGTGTTTCTAATAGCTTCCAGAAGTAACAGCAACCCAATAAAAATAATCAAAGCCTTAAGAGCAAAATTGTAAGGGCATGAAAGGATGATTTGCCTTGCGCTAAGCCGAAGTGGTATAGCACAGGTTTTCCTTATAGTTTTGAAAACTTTAGTCCCTAGAAGGGCACTCTTCTTGCATGAATAAACCGAAAAGGGAACAGAAAGTGAGGGAAGAGGGGAATTCCCTATTCACTCAAGGAGCTGCGCTGAGAAATTCAAGTAAGTTAGGTGCAAAAGGTAAAGCTGCCTGTGGTTTTGGAATTTAAAATAGAAAATTATCTATCACCTTTCTGATCTTGGGAATAGGACAGGGGAAATATTTACATAAACTGGTCTTTTACAATTTCTTCAGTGTATTAATCTAAAGGTTTCCTTTTACCCATACAAACTTTCCTGCTGTTTACTGAATGGATATAATTTTCAGGCTAGAACCAACAAATTGCTGTTTCCAGGGGTTTCTTAATGAATGCCTTTCATGGATATTTAATTTTCAAGAATTTCTGTATTTGAATCCCCTGGAAAAAAAAAAAAAAAAGAAAAAAAAAGAAGTCAAGGATGGAGTTTATTCTGGAACAGGAAAACTGGCCAGCAGCCAGCCCACCTAATTTGGATGCCTGACGGAGGTGTCACCTCTCCAGAATTTTAAGGGCTTAAAAATGGCCTCACAAACACAGGCTGCCTCGCGGAGCTGCTCCCTGCCCAGCCCGAGCTCAGGTGCCGGTGCCTTTGAAGGCTGGTTGAGCGCAGCAACGACGTGGTCTTCTTGACGTTGCTGCCTCCCTTTTCCACTGACTGTACTCCCACCATACAGGCAATATGAGGTGTAACGGCCACCCGCTCTGCTTCAAGCCTGCCAACTCCCCTTTTAAGCATCGTGCCTAAAGAAGGACACTTTTTTTGCATAACTCTGCAGCAGCCACAGCACTTGCCGAAGAAGTATGAGAGGCTTTGTTCGCAGCCCAACTGAGCCTGAGGGAGAATTCAGATCAAAAACAATGAGAAAATGTCGTCAGAACAAAGAAAGAAGAAAAAAAAATATTAATCCTTACACCAGGGTTTCTTCTGCTACCCATTAACATTATGTCAGCTAAGGTTTAGATTAACTGGCATCATAGATCCCTTGACCTCTGACATAAAAAGCTTTTTGACAAGAGCGAGCTAAATCTGAAAGTTTGCTTGTAAAGTAGTATGGATTAAGTGAACCATCACAGAAAAAACAGTATATAAGTCTCTTTTTATTAGTTTCTAAAGAAGTCTAAGTAAAGAACATTTTTTCTAAAAATATTATTTTGCATTGAGATGTATTTTCACTTTTTTATGAAGAGCATAACTGTGAATAACATTGTAGCCTGGTAATTTGTACTAAAACCCCACAGCTCTGACTTTGGTTTTGATAACGTTGTTTCCACTTTTCAGCTAATTAAAATTTTCAAGATTTCAAATTTTTAACCCATTTCAAGACAAAAAAGTTTTAAATTTTTTTTTTCCAAATGATAGAAAACCAATCCCTACATTACACTATTGTTAGTCTTTCTCCAACATCAGTACCAGCAGCTATGAGGTACCTCCTGAACTCTCCTGAGGTTTTTTTTTTATACCTTTCCTCCCACAACAGCCCAGAAAGGTCTTTAGAAACTTCCTAAATAAAAAATTCTACAAATCTACTTGTGTTTCCTTAATGTAATAATCAGTGGAAGAACATTAAAATAGAATTTTATTTTGTATGTAGGAGGTTTTATCCCAAACTTCGTTTAATTTAACTTGCTTTAGCAAGCTTTATAACTGCCATATTCTACAGGACTAAGAGTGATGGAAAGTTTGCAGGCTATAGCTATAGGAGGATAAGACTTGTGTTCTTTGCTTATAAACTCTTAATGAACTGTCACCCAGTCAAGTTAAAGAGCACTCATCCAGGAAAGGTTCCCAGCAAGAGATGGCATTACGACCTACAGTTATGATCTTACCGTCCACCGTTTCAGCGCAGAGTTGCAAGCCCAGATTGTTCTGTGGATTAATCACCCAGTGATTGCTGGTCACAGTAATGTCAAACACAAACCAGCCCACATCAGAAGCTTGAGCCTTTCTTGTGTCTAACAGGAACAAGTCTGCATCCCTAAGTCAAAGAGAATAGAGAGTTAAGGCCTTCAAATATTATTAATTTTAGTTCTTAGTTTCCTTGCTGACAATAACTTCCTGGAGTCCAAATGAATAATCCTTTGACATACCCTCGTCATGACACAGTGCAGCATGTGCTGTAGCTAACATGTAATTGTTAAGTATAATACAGGTATTTCCCCTGAGAGGCCTTTCTGAAATGAGTCTCAGCATGTGAAAACTACAGCTCTGGAAAATCTGAAAAATCCAGCTTCCTCATATTAATACACAAAATATATAGTTGAGGTCGTGTATAAAGGATTCATCTTTCAGCACTAGAATGTCTCAGGAAGATTAACTTTTATAAACCATTCAGTGTAAAAGACAAAAAATGTCAAAATCACGTTCCAATTTCAACTAAAATTCAAAGGCATAGCATCGCTGAAAAAATCTGTTATTAATAACATATGACAGCAGCTATATCATATGACAAAACATGAATAGATGACAGTTTAGATAGTTTCATATTAGTACAGATGTTTAGAAAATAAATCTCTATATCAAAGTAGAAATTATATATCTATTCAATAATGTAATTATTACATTTTAACCCTCGATTCCCTGGTATATTCTCAAATTTGTTCCCATGAAATATTCCAGTAATTCAGAAGGGCTGCTCAGGGGAGTTAGTATAATCGTGTTACTAAATGTTTAGCATGGATCATTTATTTGTTCTGTTTTCACGTATCTCCTGACACAATTGGTTCCAGAACCACATATGTGTTACAAATAATTTACTGCAATGACCACAGTAAACCCAAGATATATAACTCTCATCAGTTTCATTTTAAATGCTTCTACAAAGCAGCATGCACTATTAAAAACTGTTTGCCCCATTCAGCCTCTTAAACCTAAATCTATAGTTATAGAAACCTATTTCTTTTCTGCCATAAATAGTAATCGAAAAAATAATAATATACAAGAAAAAATATTTTATTCTAAATTTTGACTGTCCAAATCAACTGAAGACAGACTTGGCTTCCACAGACCTTGGAATCATGTTGTTACCTTACAGACAGCATGAATATTAAAGAGGTAAGAGAGGCAGAAATAATAGGCTTTGTGTATGAAAAGTGGATTTAAAATTCCAATGGTTCTGTCACTTAGTTTCTTAATCCCAACAATATCATAGGAAGTTGCTGTCTTATCTAGACTAAACACTGTAAAGGCACCTAGAAGGTCTGATGCTAGAAAAACATCTCGTGTGGCTCTTGAAACTGTGCTTGTTCAACACGCAGGAAACTAAGACCAAACGAGCTATGACAAGCAGATGTTTACGTACATGTGAGAAATATCTGCCGAATTGTGTTAAAGAGATCAGAAATTATAAAGGAGTTTGTGGGTTTTTTGTAGAAAAAATAGAAAATTGAATGGTTTTTCTTTCAAGTTACCTTTTTTCCCTTTTGTTAATGGATAATCTTTTGCTGGACTCTTATCACTTCCATTCTGGTAGGACTATGCTAATGACCACACAAGGAGAAAACATGCGTTCTCCCTCTGGAGCTAACATGAAAACAGCCTTACAATTCAAAAGAGCCTGACCTGTTATGCTAGCACTGAACAAATTAACAACGTACCACAAGCTCATAAATAGTACTCTCTGGAGTCTTAAATGCCAACTTTTTTCTCTAATAAGCAGTTTTATCGGAATTTAAAGCTGGAATGTTTACTTCTCAATGTGACAGTCTTTAAGATGTTTATTTATAAATATTTCTTGTATAATTCAGTATATTTAATAGAAATCTGTAAAATTGTTTAGAATATAAAAAATTACAACATCACAGTGCTATAATTTCACATTTGTCTTGTCTCCTCCTAGAATACATAATTGTTTTCCCATATAGATTGTTTCAGCTCCAAACTTTTCTGTGACAGATACAAAATGTTCTCAAAAGTCAGGATGCACAATGTCTTGTATGCCAAATCAGAATAGGGCACTGCTTGTGGTACAGCCCAGAAACCCCTATAAAGGACAAATTTCCCCTGTGGATCTCTCCTCAGTGTGACTTTATTACTTCGTACTGCAGCAGAAACTGACACCCAAGTGTCTTTAGCTTCGATATGTCGATCTTCTTGCCTGCCTTCCTACAAGCATAGTGATCTGGCTAAGGTAATAGACTTAAAGAGGCAGATTGTTCTTACCCAATAACTCAGCAAATGAGCCAAAAGTTCATTGTGGGTACCTGGAGGAACCTAGAGCTGATTCTTCAGAACTCATAGTAGAACAGAGAAAGTGCCTCCAGACCAATGCTAATGATTTAGGCCACATGACAGCAATTTACTACAGAAATTCAAAGTAGTCATCAGGAAAAAAAACAACTGTTTTCACAATTGATATAAACAGAGGGTGAAAACATGCTCCCTGAGAAGGCAATGAGAGCTCTGAGATCAGAATTGCCCCATTGGCGGGTACCATTCACTTAAACTTCTCATCACATTTTGTGACATTTTTAATTTTAAAATTTTCCTTTATTCTGTGAAAAGAAAAAACTGACCACACTTAAAATGAAAAACAGCTGCAAATTTTGGCTCTAATTTTAAAAAATATTTCTATTTAAAAAATAGCCCACAACACATAATAAAAAAGTAAGGCATTATGTCGTAAATAGCCTGAAATGCAACAGTGAACACATTCAGGCAGAATACAGCTGATTGGCTTTACCTTTATGGAGGCTGTTTAAGTTTAGTGATCTCAGTCTGGTCCCAAACGGCCAGTTGTCTACAGCAGAAATGCTACCACAGTCAAGAATTTCAGCAAAGAGGCTGCGGGCAGAAGGTCTAAGAAGCTCCAGGTCTCCTGGGTCACTTAAGGAAGTAAAGGTGGAATAAACCATCTACATGCTCCTTGAAACCCAGCAAAGTTTTCGACCAGATCAAATCAGTCTTACTATGTAATAGGCCATCCCCACAATACTGCTTCACCTCTCGCCTCATTCCAGGAAGCTGCTGTAGTATCTTAATGCCACTTGAGGATTCCCTAATGTGGGAAGAATCCTTGGGGTTTAGTTAAATTAGTGGCTAGCTGCCACCAGATCATGAACAAGGATTTGGCCTGTTGGACTATATTACTTTCGTCATGAGAAAAGATCCGGGTAGGAGAACATTGGCAGGGCTGAGTAGGAAAGTTTGCCTTGCCATAGGCTGTGCTTTATACACTTACTTAGAACAAAGAGAAAACCTTAGCCCCAAAGACTGCCATTTCAGCAGACTCCGAGTAAATTCAATACACACACTCTTCAGCAGCCATGCTGCCACAGAGACAGAAAAATGTCTAAGACGACAACATAATCCCTAGTCTGCAACTCAGAAACCCTACACCCTGAGCACTCCTGGCCTGAAAGCATGGCAGGACAGCATTTGGCATTGCAGAGCTCCATCAGACACCCACATTTCCCGTTCAGAGTGAAGAAGGGTGGAGGACCAGAGTCAAAACACAGCAGTTTTGCTGTGCTGTGGCACTAGTAAGGAGTCGAATCATAGAATCACTGAATGGTTTGGGTTGGAACGGACCCTAAAGACCACCTAGTTCCAACCTCCCACCAGACCAGGTTGCTCAAAGCCCCATACAGCCTGGCTTTGAACCCCTCCAGGGAAGGGGCAGCCACAACTTCCTTGAGCAACCTGTTCCAGTACCTCACCACTCTCTCATCTCACCATCACATTCCGCAGGTGCAGCTTCTGAAAATTTTGCACCTAAAATCTCATGCACATACGTAGGATGAATCTGCAGTGACAAAGTCAAGAATAACACTAATGAAGCCTGGGTCCCAAAGTAAAAGCTGTGGCTTTATTTGTAAAAAATAAATAAATAAAGGATAATAAGAAAAAAATCTTGGGAGCACTTCTGTCTGGAGGTATCAAGAAGCGGGTGGGAAAAGTTCCTTGTTTCTAATTTGAACAGTAGAGAGCTTGTGGCCTTTTCTCATCCTGTCCCACTGAGGCATTGGCCTTTATATACTCTATGTATGAGCAGAGACTAGCAAAATCAACAATAGGAGCAAAGCACTTAGTCTACATTTGATGTTTCTGTAGTCATACTGCTGAAATCAAATGGGTGGTATATTGTTGCATGTCCCCGTTTCCAACCTCATGCTTCAACTAGATGACATGGGCTTTTATGTCTATAAAAGCAAATATAAAATGTTTATAAATTTATGTTTATGTATTGAAGGAAATCAAGAGCATTCTTTAATGGTTTCACAGAGACAGTTGTCATTTTAACAAGTCAGAGAATATTTAAGTGTGATCTTGCTTCAGAGTAATAAGCAGTTTGTATCTCTCTAAAATAGAATAGAAACCACTTACTGGGAAAACTTTAAAAAAGCCAAACAACAACCAAAAACCACCAAAAGCTAAAAAAGAAAACTTCAAATGGATTAGAAAAACTAACTTATCCCATTAGGTCTTAAAAAAAATATCTGTTGAGTTTGTAAGTGAAGAGCTTGCATTACCCTAACCTTGACCTGTGCTCTTTAAAAAGATGTTTTGTTCCTTCCCATTTCATTCCTTCCTCCAGGAAAATTCTTTTAGAACCTATGTCAAAAGAATTTTGTCAAGCTGAAGGCAGATTTAAAAAAAAAACAAAAAAAAAAACCAACAAAAAACCACACTGTTTTGTTCCTGCCCAAATTTACTAAAGACAGCAGAAGGTATTCTGGAAGGATGAGTGCTTTCCCTCCTGTTGATTCTGCTCCATTGGTATAAAATGACTCCCTGTTTACAGCCATAAAAGTTTTATAACTTGATGTTCAGAGATCCCACCTGGAAGGTACAAGCTCAAGCTTCTGGGAGCAGAAAAGAGGTTTGAACTCTGGCCCAGCCTTCCAGCTAACTGGTGATGGGGCATTTTTTTCTCTCCAGAACACTCTGCAAGTTCAGGCTGCCATTTTCTTTGCTTCTGCTAAACATGCCCAGGATAGAAATACTTCATCTGTTCCAAGATGAAGGAGAGTTTTTGTTTATCTCAAAACAATCCTCATTTCTTCCACTTTTATGAGAATAGACATATACCGATTTAATTTCAAAATCCAAATTTTGGGTGTATGTAGCTTTTCGCAGAAGCATCTTGGCATTGCTACTAGTTTTTAATGAGATTTTGCAGGTATTTAGCTACTTTGCCTGGTGAAATCTGGTCACTTATTTACTCAGGTCTTGCAGAGTCTTGGAAGTATGTCACACACAGAGCTCTGCAAACTCAGATTCAGAGATTTGCTCATGTGTAATGCTATATTTGTTTTCATTTTCAGTTATGGTGAGCTGCACATGTTGACTGTGCATATGTCAACTTAAAGTCAGTGTACAACTTTATCTTTTAATTGCGTTCGGCAAAATATTAAAACACATGCAATAAACCCCATGCTCCTTCAAATGTAAACAAAGTTGAACAGCCTATCTGCCTTTAAGGAGCTGAATGAATCTTGGCTGGTAGTAACTTAGCATCAGCAAATGGTGCATTTCCCAAATCCAGACAGTGCGCACGACCCCACCATTTTCTCCCTGAGAACTCAACCCCTCGCCCTCTCTGTGCATGGGCAGGTTGTTGGGTGAGATTGGACACATAGCTCTCCATAAACCTGGAATAAATTACTTTGAAGGTTAAGCTTTATTCTTGCTCAGGGTTTGCTGCCCTTGCCTGGGAGTTAATACTGCACAAGCCACAGTGGTAGCAAAGATGCCTTGCCGAGGGTAAGCTTATATCAGCCGCTATCTCCCCAACTTCAAATAGAAACACAAGACGTTACTCAACACGTGATCCGCTCATGCCAAGAGGGTACCTGTTTGGGTACTCCTTGATGATCTGGTATATGCTAATCTGAATGGTTTCGTTCTCCAAGCGGCTGTTGCTTCGGTCTTTGTATATCCGGAACTCGGCTGCGGTCACTGCCTCGCCGTGCGGGATTTGGGTAAGGTCAAAGCGAAACTCTTTGTAGTGCCTTCGCTGGTGGGAGAAGTCCTTGTCCCTTTCAACTGTGAGAAAAAGAGTTGAATGTAAATTAAAGAGGTGAAACGAATGCCCATTTCCCATGATTAATGGAGCGTTCCCTGTGCTTGGGAGTAAACAAACAGGACAATATAAAACTGTGCAAATAATAAAACCACAAGCCCAGGCATACTTCCACTTAAAGGAAATTCCACCAGCTCAATGTCTTCAGTTCAAAAGAAAAAAAAAAACCTCAGTAGCTTTTATACAAATTCCAGAAGCCGGAGTGGAAAGAATATCAAAAAAAGCTGAAGGAGGGCATGTAAGTAACTAGAAATACGGACAAACTAAGAACTGCGAAAGGATTTAGGACTTCACTGTAGCCATAAGCACAGCAGTAGTAATGTCAGAGCCATAGACGACTTTGGAAAACACTAATTGCCACTAATAACCAGGCAGATGAGAGGAATGCTGCTCTTTGCTGCTCAATGTAATAAATTCTAAAGCCGTACTAAAGAGCACTGCAGCAACTAGATATTTAAGAAGCAGTTGCATCACCTAAATCAGCACACGCTGTGCTCTAATGGCACAAGCATCACCTTGCCCGTGGCCAGAAGTAGGAGCCATGGATCGGCACTGAGTGGTTCTGGCACCCCAGTGGCAAAGGGAGAACCACTGCTGGTATGAGAAGCCCCCTCAAACCTGTTGTAGGTGGGCAGGTGCAGCTCCCACTGTGTCCCACACTGCCACAATTCCATGTGGAAAAAAAAAATAAATCAACCCCAGCATTGTTTAATTCAGGATTGTACAAGATTTTAAGGGGGAGTAGAATCATAGAATCATATGGGGTTGGAAGGGATCTCTGGAGATCATCAAGTCCAACTCCCCCCACCGGAGTGGGTCTACCTAGAGCAGGTTGCAGTAAAAAGAGTAAAAAGAGGATTTTAGTTTATTGGAGTTTACAACTGATTTTGGGCTCATTCCACTGTCTGCAGCAGTTCTGACCCTGAGTTAGGAGCAGCTTTTGCAATGGAATACATGTTTTGATGTGGCAAGGGAACCTACAGGCCACAGTACTGGCTGGTGACCATTTTATGGGATTAATACTTCAGATTTTACAGATGTGGAAAGGAAAATGATCCATGGTTTCCATTGCCACAGAGTGCAACGTATCATTGACCTGTGAAGCAGCTGCACTCTGCTAAGAGAGAACTTCACATTTCTGGAGACGTCCCTCCTGCCTTGTGAGAAAGATAGGTGCTTTGCTTTGTTGCTGGTGGACAAAGCCTAAAACACTGAGCTGGGACTCAGTTTAGATAACCAGCCAAACATTAATGGCTAGCTAGCTCCTCTAGCCTCCTATAACCCCTGCTCTTTTATTGCATTTGAATACTAACAGTCCTTGAATCTGAGGAGGGAACAAAGTCAGTTCTGAAATAGCACATATTTAAGTAACTAAATGTAACGTGTAAAAATAATAAAATGTGTATGTTATTATAATACATATGTGTATGCTATGTGTACACCTATGCAATTTCATCTTTCATCACCTACAATGTGTAGGTGTTTGCATGTGTGCATAAATATATAAATATTTATATATAAACCTGCATATGTGTAGTATTATAAAATGTATGTGGTCTTACAAAATAGAAATGCAGTAAAAGCAAAAAAAAAGTTTTGGACTTGCCATATAAGGGTACAATTACAGACATATTAAAGGCAGAGTTAATGGAGGAAAAGTATTTACACTGTTTTCAGAGCAATAATTACTAGTTAATTCACCTGTGGCCACGTAGCTAGTACTTTACAGTAAGCTTCCCTTTCACCCTTTCAAAAACCTAAACTATCCTTGTTTTCATTAGCATATTTTTTTTCAAATACGCAAATCTTTGTTGCCTTAAGAACCACCAAAAATAAAATCTATAGGCTATAAGAACACTTTATCTTCGGTGAAAATGAACTTTCTCCTGGCTGACAAAAGGAAAATTGTCTGCTAACTGTGAGGTTCCCTTGGCTGGAGGACATATTTAGCTTACATGGGTTTGCCATCGTACCCTAGGTAGAAAAAGTAAAGCAGAAAAGAGGCAGAAGCATGTAAACTGGCTGCTCTGTACCTGAAGATGAATGGGCTGCTACTGAAGAGAAACAGGATACAGGCTATTTAGCAGCTCCACTGCCTGGCTCTAAACTGTGAGATATATACAGAGATCTGACTTGAGGTTTGGGGTTTGTTTGCCTTTTTTTTTTTTTTTGAATGTCCATGTAAAGCCTTTCATTTTGGAGCTAACTTGGCAGAGATTAGCATATGCAAATGCAATGAACCAGGGAGGATTTTTCTAGCGCAGAGTCTGCTGCTGCAAGTTTCTAAGGTTATAACTGAGCATTTCGAAACTAACATCGAACAGATACGTCGATAAACTTTAAATGAAAAATATATTAAAGGCAGATTTAACGCAGCACCACTTTCTGATATTTCTGGTTAGTATTTATTCAGCAATTATTTACCAGCATGTGTGGATAACAAAACACTACGCGCTATGAGTAAACATCAGAGAATTAGATACTGAATAAAAGGTTTAAATGCCAGTACTCCTGGCCTGTTCCATTTTTGGGGGGGGTTGAGGTTTCCTTTTGTCTAGTTTCTTACAAATACTTTCTAATTAGTAACATTAGTTTGGAAACAGCGGTTCTTTCTCTCTGTGTTATAGTTTGGAGCAGAAGCCTCTACAATACCCTGCAATAGCATCTGTGGGGTTCTCTCAGGACCACTCACAACTGCTGAGAGAATTCTGATAGCCACTTCCTGACAAGCCCAAAACGAATTATTACAGCTCACACAGATAGCACTTATCTGCGTTTCCATGTATACCCAGGGAAGAGACAGCCATCTGCAAGGGACACAAGTGCAAAATTTCCTGGGGGGCCAGGTCTTGGGACTAGCAACAGCCTGCAGAAAGGAAGGGCTGCAGGAAACGGGCACTGGACACTGTGAAAAAGTTTGGGGAGGTCCCGCTCTCCACAACGAAGCCAGAATCTCAAACCGTAAATCTCAGTCAGCCAATGGTAAAAACAATTTTTTCAGAAATCTAGGCAAGCTAAGATCCTGCGTTACACAGTAGACTGAAAAAAAGCCAGTGGCTGTGATGTTGCAATATTGACTAATGACTAGAAAAATAGCCAAGTTATAAAAGCAAAATGTCATTTAATTATATTAAGTATTTTACTACCACAAATAATACACAAGTCTTGATCTCTTCTTTGTCTAATAAATGACTTGTCAGGGAATATTGTGAATGCTCAGTAGGGTGTCCCTCAGGTCCTTTATCCTGATGAAATGGCATGAAGTGCAGGGGGGGGCACGACATCTCAAATATTTTTGTTTCACATGCGAGAGCACTTCAACGCTGGCAATTCAAAAAATACAGGTTAAGATTTTTAAGTGTTCAGTTCTTCCAGAGTGTTCTCGTGTCATTCCAGCTCTGCTCAGTTCATCTGCCAAAATGCGTCTCTGTGGGACCGATCACAGCATCTAAAAACTGGTTGACCAGAAAATCAGGAAGTCCTTTTTTAACCATTGGAGGATTATAATTTTTCCAAGCAAAAAAAAAAAAAGTGGAATATTATGGTCAGTGCTAATTACAACAAAATCCTTCTTTTGCATTCATTGATCAGGATTCTTAGCATCAACTTTTTAAAATGTTATTTTTATACCACCTGAGACTAATATATTCAGCACTATGGTTACATCAGACAAATCATGGCTCAGGGGAATATCACAAACACCTGTGTGTAAGATGGGAAAGAATGATATTTTCCACCCATGTGGCAAACTGATGAAATATTCATACTGTATTTATACTAAGCCCAACTCTAAGAAGAAGGAAGACAAATTTACACCAAAAAGATATTTTGGAAAAAAGGGCTCATCTTTTACACCAAGAGAAAATATCATGCACTAATTTTCATTACCCAAAGTATTTGTCTTCTTGAAAAAAATTACAAAGCACGTATATGGATAGACGGTATAATAAGTAACGGGTATTTTACCAGTTCAGCTATAAATGTCTGATTAACTGAGCTTAAAAAATGTAAAAAGTGCTGGCTTAGTGCTAGTTTAGGTCATAGGGCATGTGGGACTGTTAGACGTGCTTTTTCATTAGTGATTAGCTCCCCACTGACGTGTGCTTTGTTTTTCCTGAAAGGGTTGGTATGTGGTGACACACAGGGAAAGTGAAAGCTTCTTTGGCAAACTGGGGAACAAACCAAAGATAGGTTGGAATAAGCTGATTTTACAATGTAAGATCCCCGGGATCCCAACTGGAATCACAAACAATGAAGCCTCCCTAATCAACGTCACTGTTTAACTACTAAATATACATGCCAAGGAAAAACAGAGGGTCTTGCAGACTGTGTAACCGTAAGGGCCCATTTACACTATTCTCGCTGAATTTCACTGTTTGACTCTGAATTCTTTGTATAAGCACTAAGTAAACGAGTCAGTTTTAATCACTTCAAGGTGATAAAGGTTACAGTAAGCTGATACACTACAAACGACACTCGTTTACATCTTGAATATAATGAAATGATAGTTTATCTACAGTGAACACTTGTGGTTATCTGACAAAAACAGGTCAAAGGTTCCAGGCGTTTTCTCCTGAAATTACTCAGTGCTGCCTCAAATAACTGATAATTGAAAGCAGAGGCTGGAAATATCAAATGTGGTAGGTGACAGATAAGCAACAGATTAATGCAAGTACTCTGTTACAGGACACTAAAAGGTCAGAGGCCCTAGGAATTAGCTATTGTGCTACTGTGAAAAGACAGACATCAAATAGCTGTTTACCTCATTCCTGCTCTTCTCGCCAACATTCACATTCTAGAAGCACGTTCTCTCCTCTATGATTAGACTCTTTAAACTGACTCACTTTTTACAAAATAAGGCAACAAACGTTTTGTAGGGTGTGTGTATAGGAGTGAAGATGTGATCCTAGAACAAAATGAAAGATATATAAAAAAACCCCAAATAGTTGTGCTAGGTGTAACT